AGGAGGAGGAGGAGGAGGAGGAGGATGAGGAGGAGGATGAGGATGAGGAGGAGGAATAATAATAACCATACCAATGATAACAACAACAATAATACTAATACTACGAATAATACTGCTAATAATATGAAGAAGACGAATACTACGAATTACAATACTACTAATACTAAAACTAATAATATCAATACGAATAATAGTATTAATCATAATAATAAGAATACGAATAATACGAATACTAATAATAATACTAAGACAATTAATATTAATAATCATACTAATACGAATAATAATACGAACAAGAAGAATAATACGAATACGACTAATATTAAGACTATTACAAATAAGAATAATAAGACTACGAATAATAATAATACTAATAAAAATATTATTAATAATAATACTAATACTAATACTAATAATAATACTAATAACACTAATACTGATAATACTAATACTAATACTAATACTAATAATAATACTAATACTAATAATAATACTGATAATACTAATAATCATAATGATGGTGATAATAATAATAATAATACTACTACTAATACTAATACTAATAATAATAATACTAATAATACTAATAAGAATAATACTAATAATAATAATAATACTGATACTAATAATAATACTAGTAGTAATACTAATAATGATAATAATAAGAATAATAATGAGAAAACTATTAATCATAAGAAGAGTAATACTAATAATAAGAGGAGGAGAAGGAGGAGGAGGAAGAGGAGGAGGAGGAGGAGGAGGAGGAGGAGGAAAAGGATTACGGGATCACGAGATGACAACCACAGCAGTCGTGGTAAAGAGGGGCTTAGTCGGAGGAGGAGGAGTCGGAGGAGGAGGAGGAGGAGGAGGAGGAGGAGGAGCCCGAGCCCGTGCCCCGCGGCTGCGGGGCGGTCCTGCACGTGGAGCTCGAGGACGTGGGGGCGCGGCGGCGGGGGGAGGTCAGAAGGCGGCGAGGGCTTCTGGTAAGCCCCGCCGCCTTCTGAGAAGGCCTTCTCCTTCGGTAGCAAATCACGGGAGCCTGGTATACCCTCTCAGTTCCGTCTTTCGCGTCGATTAGCATCGACCAGCGTCTGGGAGTCGATGAGATTAGCGTCGATTTAGCGTCGATTAGCGTCGATCGGGAAGGCCCAGCGGCCAGTGTCGCCGACCCTGAAGGGGGGCGGCGACGGCGGCGGCGGCGGCGGCGACGACGACGCTGACGCTCTGGAGCCTTTCTTGGGATTTCTCTTGGGAGCTTCTGGGGCTAGCGTCGATCTAGCGTGAACTGGCGCCGACTCGCAAGAGCCGACAAGGTGGTATGGGAGGCTCCCATGAGTTGCCACCGCATTCTCCTTCTCATTGTCCCCCCCCTCGCTCGCCTCCGAGACGGGGCGCGGAGGGCGAGGGACGGGTGGCCTACCCCCTGGGCAGGCCCGAGTACGTCCTGGACGTGCTGCCCTTCCTGTTCAGCCGGCCCCCGGTGCCGGCGAAGGCTCGGGGGCGGGGCGGGCGAAACGAGGGGGGGGGGCGGGGGGAGGCCCAGACCCCCATCGAGGAACGGACGAAGATCACGACGACGGAGGGTTTTTTTCGCCGTCTTCGGCTCCTGGGGGCCCCCTCGCTGGGCCTCGCGAGGCCGTCGAGGAAGCGGCGCGGGAGGAAGGGCCGGTCCCCGGGGAGGAGGTCGAAACCTCTGGGGGTCGACGGTGGGAAAGAATCATGACGTCGGGGGTCTGGGGGGAAAGGGCGGCTGCGAAGTCTGCCGCGAGCAGCCGGCTTCGACTCCGCCGCCAGAAGGGGAGCCGCAGAGGTGGGAGCTCGCCCAGCTCTGCTGTGGCGCGGAAGGGCGGCGGAGCTCGTTGCAGGGATGGGGGCTCGTGGGGGCCCGGTCGCCCCGAGAGGATGCCGCGGCTGGCGTCCAGGCCCTGCACAACACCCTGGAGATGTGGTTCGCCACGGCCATTGCGGAGGCGGACCACGGCACGGCGAAGGACTGGCGCCTGCCGACGGCGGCGGCCAACAGCAAGGCGCTCGGCGCGTGACGCGGGCTGCCCGGTGCTGCCAGCGGCGACGGCGCTCGTTCCTAGCATTGCGTCGGGCCTGTCCGTCTACAGGAGGAACATTCAAAAGTAGTAACTAAAAATATAGCCTGGGGGCGTTTTTTGGACTATTCTTGCATATTTTTGTGCATTTTGGCTATTTTTCTTTTTCGTCCAAAATCCCCCTGTAGGAGGGCATACCCGACCTAATCCCAGCCCCGGCCCAGCTGGCGGCGGCCACAACGGGGTGGAGATGCTGAGATGGCAGGGGGGGCCTTTCTGGAAGGGCCGCGAGGCTTCCAAGACGCCTTCCCGGAGGCCGCCAGGCAGTTCCAGGAAGGCCCCCCCGCCTGCTGAGAAGCCCTCCGCCCCGCCTTCTCGGAAGGTCGCTGCACCCTCGCGCCAGCCCCGTGCGGGTGCTGGCATGCCAAGGTGCCGCCAGGGGTTTCCACCGAAGAACAAAACGGTATAAACATCAACTGTTGGCGCTCCGCGCGGATCTCTTGGGTCTGCGCTGGGCCCCCCTGGGCGGCGCCTCCGTCGCCGCCCCTGGCGCGCTCCGCGCGCCAGGGAGGGGGGTCCGGCGCAGATCCAAGAAATCCGCGCCCAGCGCCCAGAGTTTGTATTTACGCCGTTTCTTCTGTTTCCATTCCACGGAGGCCCCCGCGCCCGGGAGCACCTCTGGCAGCCCCCGGCGTGCGTGTCCCCCAGCAGACGCGCGGCTGAGATCGGTGGGCCCGGGCGGCGGCGTGCGGCACGCGTTTTCCGACAGTCTGTGGCCTTCGTGCCAGACGTCGTGCCCCGGCCCTGTCCGCTGTGCGCAGGTCTCGGGACACGCTGCCAGATTTTCTCTTCTCTCCGAGCTGTGGAGACAGTTTTCGCCAGGCGTGGTGCATCCGTCAAAGCCCGAGTCGAGGAGGAGGCGCGAGGGAGAGGGGGCGGGGCCATGGAGGAGGGAGGCGCGGCGAGGGGGAGCAGGGGCCGAGGAGGGGGAAGGGGGGGGCGGGGACGAGGGAGCAGGGAGGCGGAGGGACAAGCCAGGTGCGCCCGCGCCAAGCCTGACAGCCCAGCCGTCCCACCCGTCCCTTCCAACTGCGCTGGGCTGTCTCTGTCCGCCGACGTCGTGGCGGACCTGGAGCCTCCGACGGGCCCCCTATCGTGTGGTGTGCGATCGCGAGAGGGGAGCTGTGCGCATCGGACGAGGAGGGGGGGAGGGCGTGGCGGACGGGCAAGAGGATGCGGAGGGGGACGAGGATGAGGAGGGATAGGGACGAGGAGGAGGAGGAGGAGGAGCAGCAGCAGGAGCAGGAGCACAACGAGCGGCGGGAGGACCAGGGGAAAGGGGGAAGATGGGGAGCGAAGCAGGGCGACCTCGCGGCGAGGAACCGCTCGGATCTCCAGAATCGCGGCCCGCGCTGGGGCAAGAGCGCCATGCTGAACAACGGGAGCAACGCGTCGTTCCGAGAATGAAGCTTACGCTGCAGCGGGAACACCACTCTGAAACACCGAAGACGCTCCGAGTGAAGAACCAGACTCGGTGGCCCATCCCGCCACCGTGCCTGGGGCGTAAGTAGGTCATCGGGCTCTTGGATGCCGCTGTGGGGATTTCTTCGGGGCGGTCTTGTGGGCCTTTATTTGGGCCTCTTGGGGGCCTTTTGGAGCTTTTTTGGGGCCTCTTAGGGGCCTGCTTGCGGTCTCGGGGGTCATCTTGGGGCCGAGGGCTCGAAATGTTGTTTCGTATTCCGCATCTGGGGTCTCTCTTGGCCCCTCTTTGGGCCCTCTTGGGCCGTCTTAGGGGCCTCTCGGGCCTTCTTGGGCCGTCTGGGGGCCCTCTTGGCCTTTTGGGCCGTCTTGAAGCGTAGACAGCCCGAAAAGGCGAGAGCGCTAACATCCTTCGAAACGTTAGGGAGATCCACGGTTTTGGCTTGTCGGGCTCTATTGGGGGGCCTCTTGGAGTTTTTTTGCGGCGTCTTGGGTATTTTTGGGCTGTCTAGAAGCCATCTTGGGCGGCTGTGAGCGGTTTTCGGGCGACTCGGGGCACTCTTTGGTGTGGTCTTTGGGGCCTCCACGGGCCCTCTTGGTCCGTCTTGGGGTCTTCTTGCTTATGGAAATGGCGGAGTTTCTAGAAGGCTCATGCGACACACCCCGGGGATTCCCGGACATTCCCAGGACAGTGAGGGCCCCGTCCTCTACGAACCTTACACACCCTGTGCTTTTCAGGATTGGACGAGCTTTGCGGCACTCCGCTACGTGCTGAAGGCACGGTGGCGGACATGTCGGAAACCGGTATGCGGGAGAAACATTATTCCGTTCGGGCTGGATCTGGTGTGTGAGAGAGAGAGAGAGAGAGAGTAACTTTGAGTAAGTGTGGAGGGAAGGCGGCAGAGGGAGGATGGGGAGGGGTGGAGGGCGGTTGGAGGATGGAGGCCCGAGGCGCGAGGCTGGAGGCAGGAGGAGGCACGAGGGAGGAGGGAGGCGGGATGAGAACGGAGGGAGGCGAGGGGAGAGAGTGGAGATGCAGGGACGGAGGGAGGAGTGAGGATGGATGGAGGCGGAAGGCGGAGGAGCACGGGGGGAGGTTGGAAAAGGGGAAGAGGTGGGGGCCCAGGGAGGATGACGAGGAGGGACGAGGGCAGAGGGGGAGGGGATGATGAGGATAGTAACTAGAAGGGGGACCATGATGAGAAGGACTCGTACGCGAGTCCACGCCTGCCTTCTGGGTGCCGTTTGCGTGACTATGATTTCACCAGCCATGGTGACACAGTATGCTGATGCTTATGAACAGGTATCCAGACGCTGACATGTCTGTGCGCACGCATGTTTACACATACGTATGTGTATATACATTTATAAACATAT